GAGAGAGAGAGAGAGAGAGAGAGAGAGAGAGAGAGAGAGAGAGAGAGAGAGAGAGAGAGAGAGAGAGTGATGAAGACCTGTGAGGGGGAAGAGAGGTGGGAGGCTTACCTGGCCTACCTGGTGTGTTGGTGATGATAAGACCTTGGCAAGCTTTATGAGACTGGCGGGTTTGGCTTGAGCGCCAGCCTCCATAGTACTCGTCTTCTTCATGTCGGAGGTCGAGCTGGACTGTTGTAGGGAGGCTGCTGCAAGACTTCATCAGGAGCAACATTAGAGTGCCAGGCTGATTGCCGAGCAGGGGGGATTGGAAGAGCCACAAAACATTGTAATCATTGATTTTTATTGATACTTTCTCCCCTCCTCTGCTTCTTCTCCTATCCTTGTCTATTTTCTGGTTACTCGCTGCTTCCACTTGAGTCTACATGGGCAGTGTGATGACGACGTCGACATCCATGCCAATGCTTTGGTGAGCTTCTCATAACCGGGTGCATTACAAGCGCACTTACTGGCCAAATCTGGTTCTTGAAAAGATTGTAGATGGCTTTGTCAGCATATGGCCACAACTTGGCTGCTGCCCTATTAAGCCAACCAACGCGCTCAATATCAGGGTTCTTCACCCACTGAGGAATGAGCAGAAATAACTCACGTCGCTTGTCCTCCGTCAGATCGATATCCTTCAGTTTCTTAATCTGTAACAACACCACAGAGAAGAGCGACAGACAGGTAGACGGACAGATAGGCAGCCAGCCAGTCAGACAGACAGACACACAAACAAACAGATGGACGGACGAATGGACGGACGGATGGACGTACAGACGCACGGACGGATGGACCGAATGACTGACTGACAGACAGACAGACACACGGACGGACCAACGGAATGACCGACGTACCGACCATTGGACCGACCGATGGACCGACGGACCGACGGACCAACGGACGGACGACTGACAGACCAGCGGATGAACCAACAGATGACCGACGAACAGACCGATGGACCAACGGACCAACGGATGGACCGACGGAGTGATGGACGGAATGATTCATCCACGGACGGACCGACGGACCGACGATGGACCGACCGACCGACGGACCGACCGACTGAGGGACCGACGGAGGGACCGACCAACCGACGGACCAACCAACGGAACGACCGACGGAACGACCGACGGAATGACCGACGGAAGGACCGACGGAACGACCAACGGACGAACCGACGGACGAACCGACAGACCAACGGATCGACCGACGGACCGACGAACGGACTGACAGGCAGACAGGAGGTCAATTTGTCCCAACTCCACAGATAAGACAGACACACAAGTTCCTGGCCCATGTGGCTGAATGGTTCACAACACACATGCAATAGACAGACTCCTGGCCAACGTGGCTGAATGGTAGACATGTAATGACCCGACCAAACACGGACTGGGACACACAGCTGATTTCTGAGTTTTGCTCATGGACTGAATGCCTTGCTGAGTTTCCCGCTTGTTACTGAGTTCTCTAAGTCTGTGTGTGTGCACGTTTGCTGGTCTGCATGTCTGTCTGAGTGCTTGTTGGCTTGAGTGTGTGTGTGACCCACAAGGGCACTTGTTCGTTGGGATGGTAAAGAGTGTGAAAGGCTTTCATAGAAATAGGACAGGCTGATGGGATGGGGCCTTGCGACGATAAAGGTTGTTGTTGTTGTTGTTTTTTTTGTAATTTACAAAGAGCCCGTGTTTCCTATTAGGAGGGGTGATATGAGCACCCCCCCCCTACTAGAAGGTTGTGAAAGGCTTATATAGGAACAGGATAGGCTGTATGTGTGAGGAAGACTTCTGCAGGATTGCAGTGCAGATATTAAGCAAGGCTGGATTGACATATGAACAGTCGATGATTGGCAAGCGGCCTCAGGGACTGCCCTGAACGCCCCCTCCCCGCGCCAAGCCCCCCCCCGGGGATTACCCTACTGTGTGTCTGGGTGCTGCTAGTAAGCCTCCCGGCCAGTAGGGCAATCCACTGTGTGAGGGGCAAAGATTTGGGGGCGGGCGGGGGGGGCACAGAAGCTGGCCCCCCTTGCTCAGGCGGCTAGGGCCACAACGGTTAGGCTGGCCCTCCTTTTATCTTCTATTCTCCTCCACTGTCTTTGTACAAACATGCTTGCCGGGGATAAATAACCGGACTGTTGCCCCCCAGAACAGAAGGGGCCTGCATGATTCTTTCAAAAAAAAAAAAAAAAAAAGCTGAGAACGAGTCTAAACTACAAAATAATTATGGCAAAATCTGACATTTAACAACATTGTTTTTTTTTTTTTTTTTAAGTCCGATTTGACCCAATTTGACTCAGCGATGCTTGCTCACCTGCGGCATGACGACTTTAAGGTGCCGTTTTCTTGCCAGGATGAGGCTGCCAACAGCAATACCGGCGCCCAAGCCCAGTGTGAAGCCCACCATTTCCCCCAACAACCCGAGACTGAGCTTCAGTGAACCCACCGCAAACACCAATGAAATTGCGTGCGCTCTCCCGAGTGCACTTGGTCCTCCTCGCTTCTCCTTGATTGCCGTCGGACTTCCGGCAACCGCACGATCTTTAGCGTCAAACGACTTTCCATGTTCGTCTGTCGAGAATGCAGTGCTGTTCCCTCTAACATCCATACTTGCCACTAGTATTTTTTTGGTGACTTGTAAAGTCTTGTATATTATAATCAGTTGTTTAAATGCTGATCAGAATAGTAGAACGATGATCTAGTCAAGAACGAAGAAAAGAAATTGGCAGTTGATCGACGAATAACACAATCACTGAAAGATTGTCCGCAGGGCAGTTGATCGACTTGACACCTAAACCAAACAACCCTACCCCCACATACCCCACCCACATCAACCACCACCTACCTAATAATACTCAGTCGCAAGCGATCCATCTGCTGCACATACAGAACAGTTATGAAGCCTGTTTACTAGTCGACACAGGGTAAATGAACCCCTTCCTGACAATCTACGCATCGTCGGCCACCCTCGTAGTACATTTTACACAAAGGGTTAGAGCACCTGACGTTGACCTTGCGCTGTTCCTGTTGCCGCCATATTGACGGTCCTGGCCGCCGAACAACTCCCTCCGACAGTCCACAAGACTGGTGCAATAACCACCAGATTCCCTATCCATGTCCACAGCTAAGGATCGCACTAGCAGCAGTACTCACACACATCCAGTGTTTATGCAGGGAGTTGTGTGTTCATAGTATGCATCATCTGTGCCATGTATGTACTATGTGTGTACCATGTATACTTATCATCACAGTATCATGTATGTACTATGTATGTACTATGTATACTTATCATCACTGTATCATCTGCGTACTCTGTATGTACTATGTATGTACTATGTATCATCTGCGTACTCTGTATGTACTATGAATGTACTATGTATGTACCATGTATTCGAATCATCATAGTATCATGTATGCAGTATTATGTACGATGTAAGTACTATGTATACTTATCATCACTGTATCATCTGCGTACTACGTATGTACTATTATGTACTATGTATGTACTATGTATACTTATCATCACTGTATCATCTGCGTACTACGTATGTACTATGTATGTACTATGTATATTAGCCTTCACAATTTCATGTATGTACCATGTATGTACTATGTGTACTAATCATCAGTGTCTATGTCAAACATAACATGTTTGTCCCATGTATGTGCTATGTACTGGGTATAGCCTGTCTATGGACAACGTGCATGTACTAAGTTTAAGTGCTCAGATACTATGTGCAGGTACTACGTGAAGTGTCTGGTTACCATGTACGGT